TAGCTGCTATTTTTGGCCTGACAGCTTTTGTGGAGGTCACAGATTTATTGTAATCTCTCTTAAACAGGTGTGATTTGGCTAAAGACAATGTTAAACGCGAACTGCACTGGCTGAAAGAAAAAAGAATAATGTTGAGTTTACTGATAACATTGCGACTGAGGTTTAGTAATGGGGGCAAATGTGGCCCCTGTGATGTATTACACATGTAAATACAGGACTCATTACAGATGAGCACACCCCTCGCAGACCTCGCTTTTAAATTAAAAATTTCTATAGGATACTTTGCAATAAGTCAGTCAGTACAAAAGCCAAAACTGGAACTAACCAATCTTGAAATCACAATCCATATCATATCAAATCAAATCATATATAAAACATTTTTATTTAATGCCATGTCAGCAACAAAGGCTATTTTCATGGTAAAAACATTTTATAAATAACTGCACAATTAAAAACCACAAACAAATGTGCACATTAAAGATGAGTACGCCTCATGTACGAAGACTTGCGATGAACTCATTCTAAAATATTGCGTATGCACAAAACTGTAAATGTGCATACGCAGTAAAAAATTCAGATGTATGAAACACTGCGTACATCGAATCCCACTCATATTCTCTTTGTACATCTGACTTAACGTGAAACTGAGCACACGTGCATGAGCGCATGACCTGCCTCCTTTCCCATATGTGCTAATGACTCTACTTTGACTTTACTTCAAACTTTGAGCAGACTGTGTATTGGAGGTGTGCCTATCGGATGTAGACTAGAGAAACGCGGTGTTATTTGCAAGTTTGTCCTCCGGAATTAATAACAAAAGAAAAAAATAGAGTGGGAGAGTTTAGCTGACGCGGTAACGCAGCGGGGTCTCGTTGGACACCTCGTTGGAATGGGCTAATAAAGTGATGGTTGAGCAAATTTCAGCAGCGCGAGTGACGTAGCTCGTAAAGCACATGGCAATATGTATATATAAATATATAAATGAATGCATAAAGTAGATAAAATTAGATTTTTGACGTTTATACATGATAAAAATTCTAAAAATTTTTCCTAGAGTTCATTTCATAAAAAATGTCATTAAAACCAGTGGAGTGGAGTCTTCAACTTTCAAGTTTTAAAAAGCCATGGGTTAATCTTATATGTCCAATATGAGATCTGGTAAAAAAAAAAAAAAATCACGATCAAAAAGAGTCTTAAAATGTATCAAAAATTCGTTCAAATTTTCATGTTATATTTCATACAATTTAATATTCTTCCATGTACCCTACTACTTTAAAATGTAAACACTTATTAAAGGGCTGAAAATCAGAACAAAAATTAGTACAGCCAAATTAATACACTGTAGGAAAATAAGAAATAAATGTTTAATTGAATAAATGTTTTAGTTTGTAATTTCTTTTAGCTAATTGAAACTTCAACAGATTATCTTTCTATTCCTAAAGATGTTAGGAGTGAATTATTTTATTGAATATAATGTTTAATATATACTGTAATACATAATATGATTTATTAATTAAATTACTTTAATGAATATGACTGTTTAATAAAAACTATAAAACAAATGAATGAATCATTCAAGACAGAGCCATCACAATTATTGACTTTTGCAATTTTCCCCAAAACAAAACTATACGAGTTACACATTTTGTGTATTCTACACACTTTGGTTGACCTCAGACAAGCTGCTTAGCCAGAATCAGTATTGTATAAAAATAAAAAAACACTATAGAAAAAAGGTGACAGCTTCTAGGCTCAAAGAGTTTTAGCACAACGCTTTGCATAAGTGTTCTGAACATGTGATATTTGTCTGTGCAGATTGCATTTTAGTTTAGCTATGTAATAGTGTAGAGTTACCATGAATAATACTAACTTGATTTTTCGTGCAAGGTTTGACCAAAGGCTGATTTATACTTGTGGTCCAGAGCAGCAGGTTGCATAGCCCTCGCCATGGCTGACGCTGAAGCGCACCTCTCAAAAAATGTACCTAAACGTCGCAACGACAAAAGCACAAGCTCTGTGATTGGTTGGCTTGGTAGCAGTGACAAATGTGGGTGGTGCTGAGAGGCAAGAGCCCAATGGAGAGATTGTTTCCAAATGTCAAGGACCATGAAGGAGCACTAGATGGAAACTTTTGTTTTGCGTTTATCTTATAATTGAAATTGTTGCACTTCTGCTGGTTCCTGCTCGATACAGAGAAACATAAAAACCTATTGCCAGCTAGCATTTCCGAAGTGTTATAACAAAGCAACACAAACAGCATGCAGAAGTATAAATGCACAGCTACGCGCAAGGCATGTGCCATGGGTCAAGCCGATCACTCGACACAGAAGTATAAATCAGCCTTAACACAGTTAATTTTTTCAGTTTTCAAGGTTAACGCATGGAATTCTATTGAATAGATAATGGATCACTTCTGAAATGTCACCGCGGCTCACTTTAAACAAGCCGTAACAACAAGTTTCACAATCTTGATAAAAGGAAAGAATTACTAAAAATATTTAGTTTAAAGAAAACTGAAACACTACAGGTGACCAAACCAGAGAAACCAGGCGAACAAGGAAAAATTTAGACAGAGAGAGCGTGAAAAGAATTACAGAAACAGAAGAGGAATGGAAACATGGAGACAAGGAATGTAATGAAATGAAAAAAAAAATTTATAAATCACAATCACAATAAAAGACAACAAAAAAATGCTAGAATGGCAAGGCACTACAGGTTTGGAGAGAACAAGGTCAGATTTTCAGCATATTCAAAATAAAGCAACATTCTCCGCATGTTACTTGGCAACAGAAACTACCGGGTTCAGGAGAGGTCATAGATAATCATTTCTGCAGACTTCATGCGGTACAAATACCTTGACTCACAATAGAGAATATCCCAAGCTAGTGTTTCTTTAGATGCTGATAAACTTCCGGTGACCAGTTATGTTGACTTTTTTTCATTATATATGGTTCCTTTTACAGCATCGATGTTGTAATGAAATTAAAATGCAATCAGTTAAATAGACTTTGGCATTCATTTAGTTGCTCAAGTGTAAAACGAGACAAAAAGCCGTTACTTACACATGCCAAATCAATCAGCAGGCTAACGCAGAAGCTCCATTTAATATACTGGGGTAAAATAAATGCTCATTTTATAAAGACATGATTGGAAAAAATGTAATTTAATGCAGTGCTTCTCGTACAATCTAAGACCCACTGTATATCGGATATCACTCCGCCAGTGGAGATCACTGATTTAAAAAGAAACTAGACCTTAAATGCGCCGATTTTACAATAGCATACAGTTCACCGGAATCGCATAACCAAGGTTACTGGCAAATTAAAAGTCCTTTAGCATACTTCGACATATACCCTATAAATTTTAATGGCACACATGCTCATTTTGTAAAAAATAAGTATAGTTACACATTAGGAGCTCTGTATGTGTTAGGGTTGTCGCAATACTATTAATTCATTTTACGATACCATATCAGCTGAAGTATCACGATACCAAGTAGGACTGTGATACTGTAATTCATAACTTAAATTATGAAAAAAAACTGTCACAAACACTATATTGTATGTTATAATACGCCTACTTGAATTTAGTTCATAATTCCCTTATTACTGAAAAAAGTATTATTTGCACGTCACTTAACCTAAAATGTATTTGCTCTTTTTGTTTATTTGGTAGATAACTGACCAACAAAAAATACTTTAAAATAAAGATACAAATTATACCAAACGAAATTTGTTACAAAAAGAGCATGTCCAACGAGATGAGGCTATATGAAGTGCTCAAAAATTATTTCAATGTTTCCTGCTGCTATTTTGGATTTTTCATCTATTGTTTTCTTTTTTGTCTAATCAGGTAACAATCCAAAGTAATTGAAAATTTCATTCGGTTTTTTTAAAGAGATTTCCGTGGTTGTTGTAGCTACTAAATCATATTTAGAGGAACACAAATGAAACGATTGAGATGTACGTTCAAACTGAAGCGTTAGAAAATGTGCAAAAAGCCACCATAAAAGGCGCATATTCTACACAGTTTTGCAACCTTAAAGGACTCCACAGACTATTAAATTAAAATGGCTTATTGTTGCACAAACGTGTGAGCATTTTAGTGACTTTTTCACATACAACATTACCTTTTGTAGATTGAGCATTAATGACGAAACTACCATTTACAAAATACAGTGGCACTGCCAGTATTTTGGAGCCATAGCATTGCGATACTACCATAGTACCGGTAAACCGAGCAACCCTTGTATTCATTTTAAAAGACAATTTTGGATGCCTGGTATTTTCAACACATTTACCTACACTGTCAGAAATATTTTATTAATTTAGTTCTCATATTTTGTGATTCACAAGGAATTTCCATTTATTTACAGTTGTGAATTGCTTCATGGGAGCTTGATCTATGCCGTGTCGACTTTCGATCTTAAAAAAAATTTTATATATATATATATATATATATATATATATATATTTGAAATAATATATGGAGAAATAAAAATGTAAAATAACAGAAAATGTACTGGCAGTTTATTACAAGGTTTTATAGCATAATATACAACACCATCCCAGACAATAGATGACTTTAAACTATTAAAAACGTTAATAAAAATCACTTGTTTTGATCTTTTCAAGGTTAAAAGTTGTTGGAAGAAGGATCAAGCCCCCATAATGCAACACAAAATCATATATAAATGTGGAAACATAAAAACATTAATCACAAAACATGAAAAACTGCCAATCTGGATATTTTTTACAGCATAACCTTGCATCTTGCACCATAAACCAAGGAAGCCAGATTGTCAAAAACTCAGCATATTTTGTTCAGATTGCCGAACGCTTTGGACTCATTTTTATCAACAAATGTTCTGTTGTGCTCCAGAGATATCAGACTGCAATCCAAGGTTTCTGACAATCTCTGCCATCCCACGGCCTCGAGATCTAAGCCAGTGTGTCTGGATAGAGCTGTGGGAGTTATTCTGAGGCGGGATGGTGGTTTACCTCGGCGGAGTAGCTCGTGCAGGCTCTCTGCGCTCTGGTTCAGGACGGCCCAGACCTCCTCCTCCTGAAGCGGCCCTCCTCGCACCTCCAGCGCCTCAGCCAGAGACACATGCATGCTTCCTGTGGGTAAAAAAAAAATAATTAAATGCATGAGCATCAATCGTATATAGGGCTGTACGATAAATCGATAGTGCAACCTGTGAAGTTGAAATAGTCACATCAGAGGATCTGCAATGTCTAGTTGGAATTATAATTCACCAGAATACACAATTCAGAACACATGCAAAGTTTAACCATAATAAAATGAAAGATGTTTTAAGGCCTGTGCAAGATTTCAAGTGAATTTAAACCACAAGGAATTATACAATTTGTAGTTTAAACAAAGATTAATTGTACTTAAATATTTAAAGATTGAAGACTACAGTTAACATTTGAAGATCAAAAATGTTTAGTAAAACTGTTTTTAGGTGCGTTCACACCAGACGTTTGTGAAGCGTCAAACACAAGAGATTTACATGTTAAGTCAATGCAAAGATGTGAATAGACATCCTGCGGTGCGAATGAAGGGCACGGATTAAACATTGTGTGCGTTTGATGTGCTTAACGTGTGACACATTTAACTAAAGCTGCACAATGTATCAGAAATGTATTGTTATCGCGATAATAGTGCAGAGTGTGCTGTACGCATGGGTTGTAGGGTTGTCGCGATACTGGAATTTGGAACCAATCAGTACTGAAATTTAAAAACGTCAATTTCCCACGAACATTTGAGCGCTGTTGAGCGCGTTCTTAAGCAGCGCTGATTTGCCATTGTGTTCACATGCTCAACAGAAATGACTGTGATTGGCCATGAGGGTCATCAGTTCACTGAACTCACCGATGTTTACTGCGTGTAAACACAGATACAGGGACACTAAAGTGTTTTAAAGCTGTGATTAATCAGTGGATCGCTTGTATGTCAGCTTATAGATAAACCAGCTGATCGGCCTGACTTTGAAATGCTCCAGTGTCCCTGTATGTGGTTACACTTAGTAAACAGTAGTGAGTTCGGTGAACTGATGACCTTTACGCCCAATCACAATAATTTCTGTTGAGCTTGTGAACACAATGGCAAATCAGCAGTGTTTAAGGACATGCTTAACAGCGCTCAAATAATCACGGAAAAGGGACATTTTAAAAATGTTAGTGCCGATTGGTACCAAATTCCAGTATCATGACAACCCTAATGGGTTGTTTGTCCAAATATGACCAATCAGTAGGGCACACGGAATCTGTGTGCACAGAAATCCACAGACTTTTAGCCCATCATTGAGTCTAATTATTTACTTGTGTAAATGTATATTTATTCGGTTTTAAAATTCATTTTAGTAATATTATTGACTAATATGAAAATGTTCACATGATGTATTTACAATACAGTTTGAAAAGTCTTTTAGTAAATATATTATATGAGAACTACTTGCTTTGTTTACCAAATAAGTGGATCTAATTAAATTTGCAATGTGAACATTAAATAAAAGTTAAAAAGGTATTATTTTTTCTTTCATATGTTAAGTTTTTAGTCACGATACTCCCAAAATAATTCCATATAAATCCGCAGAATTTCTTTCATACAAAATTCTGTATGGAAATGGCAAAAAATGTCTGCAGATTCTGTCTGATTCAGATGAGGCCTTTACTATTTTCATTCTCAACCCTCAGTAGATGCTGTCACCTAGAGCTTAAAATAAATACTAATGCCAGGAGACAAGTGAAGAAAATGACAACAGCCGATAAAGAATCAGAATTTCCACCGAAGTGTTCAGTCATTCATATTGTTTTTAAGTCTATATGTTTCTTTTTTAGAGTTGATTAGCTCAGAAAAACATGTTACCAGTTTATATCAAGTGTGATTATTCAGTCATTCATTTTCCTTCGGAGGAAAATATTTGAAAACGAATAAAACCTTTACAAAAAGGCTAATTTTGTGTCAAACAACTGTGTCAAACTTTCACATATTTGGAAGCTATTTGAAAAACAAATTGTATTTTTGGTTTACTTTTGTCTTTAATTGCATCATGGAACCTTGATCTACTATCAAACAACTTTTGATGTTTAAGAAGTTGACATTTTTAATAGTTTGAAGTGATACATTGTCAGGGTTGGTGTTGCAAAAAACCTGGTAATCAACTGTCAGTACTAGGGATGTAACGGTATCAGAATTTCATGGTTCGGTAATACCTCGGTATGAATGTCACGGTACGGTATTTATTGAATCATTTACAGGAAAAACAAAACTTTTGAAAATACTCCAAAAAAGTGCCAAAAGTGTCAATGACATACAAATTAGCCATCTATCTGTAAGCTTTGAAACACTAACTTCAATTTTAATAACAAAAAAATATTAAACCATGTAAAAAAATAAAGTTTCAATTTAGTATTGTTGAAAACTCATCACATTCAACATTTAATCACTCACTCACTTACTTAGATAGAGATGGGTTAAAAGGAAAATTATCATATAAATATAATCTGGTAAAAGCTGGTATCTCTGGGTATTTACAATGTCCCCTGCAACAGAAAAAAAAAAACCTCTCATTTGGGACTGAGGTTTCTGGGACAGAGATATGACTTGGCCCATGTTGACAGCAGTGGGTAACGTTGTGCATTGTCTTTCCCCCACTTGAGAAGACAAACCATGAGTGAGATAGAGGTCTCTTTGCGGTACAAGTCAATGTCTGCATCAATCTGAACAGTGTGCTGTGTTTCTGCAGTCCCCATGACTGCTATTAGTCGTATTCCCCAACTTGCAGGCACGTGCACACATAGGGCTCAACCTGTGCAGTGCACATGCCCTTTTTAGTCTTGGATAGAAAATGCCCTTCCAAAACGATCAAAAGTGCCCCCGCGACACGACACAACCTCCGTCCAGCCCTTCAGTAGGTGCGCGACAACACCTCTCTTGAGTATGCGCGCTCAACCCCCCCTCGGCGCTTTACAATACGCGCGCGTCAACACAGCTGATCAGAACGCGCGCGACAGCACAGCTGATCAGAACTCGCGCGACAACACTGCTATTCAGTACGCACGCGCGCGGCGACAACACCCGCTTTAGGTTCGATCATTTCCATCTTTTTTTCATCTCCGCTACTAGCAGCACACTCCATTTCTGCATTACTGGATCTGTAGCGACAACAGACCGCAAAGGATTATGGCCACGCCTGGGCTGATGGGAAATGTAGTTTCAGCTACCTCCCGTTCGCTTCATTCGCCTGAGCAAATTTTCTCAGAAGACCTATAGTTTTACCGAGTCATGCGACTTCGGTAATATCGAAAAAATGTAATATTGCGGTATGACGGTATTTACAATACCGTTACATCCCTAGTCAGTACTGTTATTTTATCGAATTTATCAAAAATATGGAAACTGTTAATTAACATTTATCATTTTTTACAGTGAAACTCAACAGTTGGGTTAATTAAAATGTATTATTTCTCCACACATACTCAACTTTGGGCTGGCTTTTTAGAGTGCACTTGATGATCAAATGCAAAATATTATTTATTCATTCATATTCCTTCAGCTTAGTCTCTATTTCAGAGGCTGTTTCGCAGCGGAATGAACCAACAACTATTTTGCATATGTTTTACGCAGCGGATGCCCTTTTAGCTGCAACCAAGTACTGGAAAACACCCATACACTCTCACATTCACACACACACACTCATACACTACAACCAATTTAATTGATCCAATTCACCTTTAGCGCATGTCTTTGGACTGTGGGGGAAACTGGGGCACCCAGAGGAACAAGGGGAAAACATGCAAACTCCTCACAAAAAGGCCAACTTGTCCAGCGACCATCTTGCTGTGAGGCAACAGTGCTAACCACTAAGCCACCATGCCACCAGTATGATCATTACATAAATGATTATTATTTTTAAACTGCTGAAAAAATCATTTTTTTTAAGTTGGTTAAATCATAATAAATATAATTAAATCTCCTTAATTACACACTTAACAAGATCGACACTTTCCCAGTATCGTGTAGCCCTTCATTTCACTGCTGAGCTTATAAAAAAATAAAAAGGGTGATGCAGAAAAGGAATGAAGTCGATGTGATGCATGCGTCCCTGTGTTTTTCTCAGAAAGACTGCTTCATTCATCCTCTCTCCTCGAGCATGACGTCAACCTGTTGACTTTAGGAATCTGAATCATATGTTTGCCATAGCTACAGCGAGGTTTCTACAGAAAACCACACGACCTACCAGGAATCGAGCGATTCACTTAAAATCTGATGAAACCGCACAGCTGATCCAAACAAGTGCCAAAGCGTCATTCCGAAAGGAGCGAATGCGTTCATGTCCCGTCAGGTCTAATTGTCAGGGTGGGTCAGTTACACTCCTTGCAGTGAGATGGTTCGTCATTGTGTGCAAACCTCTGCCCTGCTGCCACAGCTGCACTTACAAAGAGCTGTAAACCCCTGGAAATCCCAGCATGCTGTGTGGCAGGAGAGACAGAGGAAGCTCTGGGTTTAAGGGATTACTTTTAAGCGGACATTTACATGGGGCTACCTAAATACTAATGTGTCACATTTCAATTGAACTGTGGAGTCAGACTTTTTCAGTGTGGCGTGTGGAGCAATGCAGCATCAGAGGGGTGTGCAGTCTGGACACACACTTGTGATGAGTTTGAAAATTGTGTCCACATATTTGTTGATTAAAATATAAACATATTAACAGAGAGAGAGAAATCTTAATGGCATCTTACTGATTTGTTGTTTAAATATATGTCTTAACTACCTTTATCCTTTTTACTTAATATTGTTGTTTTGGTTAATTTGTTAATATACGTTATTATTTAATAGGATCTATTTGACCGTCCATTTTAGTTTATTGTATAATTTTTGTATTGTTTTTTGGGGTGTCAATTTTAATATCTGTCTAGGGACAACCTATTTTGCTAAATCTGGAGCATTTGCAACAATACTAATTAATGTACAACGTCTCTGCCAAATAAATAAAAATAAAATAAATACTATATCATATAAACAATAATAATTATTATTATTATTATTATCATCATATAAACTGTGCAGTATGGGCAAAATAAACCTATTTTCTTAAACAATATTGTGAATG